TTCTCCCAATCGGGGACTAGTTTATGACTACTTGGACTTCAAATCAGTTGGGAGAATTGTGGGTTTGGTATGGGCTTGTTTTCTGGGAACCAGAAAATTGCAGTCAGAATCAGAAGCAGCTCTTGAGGTATTTAGAATGTAATTAGATTTCTGTTGTAGTATCGATCACTCCTGTAGCCTCAGACACTGATGTTCTTTTCCTCTAAAGACAGAGTTAGTGGTACTCAGCTAAATCAGTCTCCTGAGGTCTAAAGGCAGTGGAATTGGTATCATTAGTTAATTCATACTGTTAATTCTGAGTTGAAGGGAGGATTGCACTCATGTTAACACAGTAATTCATACTCACTCAAGGCTTGTGGCTTTTTAGATTAACATAAATAAAGGAACAAATTCTGTCCTCAGATATGCAGATCAGGAGAAACCCATTCATGCACATCTGAGGAGAACATGGAGCTTAACCTATGATTTCCAACAGAATACTGATTGAAAAAATTAATTTGCCCAGCTGCTGAGAGAAACAAAAGCCCAGTTCTCTACAGGTCTGAGATTTTCAACTTTTATTCTCTCCATTGGTATGTCAGAACAAATTAAATTGCTGTGCAAAAGCAAAATTAAAAACATGGAGTTCGCTAACCATATAACTTGTTGCTTTCCACATTTGTCCGCTATCCTCTACCTCAGTTGCAGGGCAGGTACCTTGCCTTCATACTGGTCTATAAAATTGTTCAGACTGTTGGTACTATACAAATAATAAAACAAATAAAAACTAAACCATACTTAGGAAAATAAATGGACACAACCATTATGCAGCTACTTTCTTACTGTCTCTTGGCTTGCTCCCATCCTTACTGTGTCGCCTAGTTCTTTGCATGAATTAGTCAGTCCTAGTATCTCTATCTGTCTCTAAAGAAAGGTCTCTCTGTTCATCTGTGAGTCTGTTTATTCAAGAACCTCCTTCTAAACAGTCAGAGCTAGAGCACCAAATTTGTTATGAAGCTTCCTCTTCTCCTAACTTAAAGCAAGGTCAGGGTTTGGTTGTGCCTGGAATTTGATAGTTTTCCATATCGTGGAAAGTGTAGGACCAGAGAGAGGAGGGACATGAAAGGGAGGGGCATAAAGAGAAGGGATGCGATTCTGAGAGTGGCCACTGTGGGGGAGTGAGCACAGGAAAGAGCCATATTGCAGTGGCGACTGGGGGCAGCTGCACCATCAAGAGAGTGGCCAGCAGGGCTAGGGCTGGCCATAATCTCAGATTTATAGAGCACTGGGCTTCTAAGTAGCCCCTCTGCCCCAAACTTTTCCCCTCAAGCCTGTGCTCACGTGGGGGGGCGGGGGCGGCGCGGGGGCGGCCGCCCCTGGACGGCA